AGCATCGTCAGCATTCCCATCACCGTATTCAGCAGCAGAAGAAAAGGGTGTCTGGGAGCACCTTGACATGAGGTAGCCCCATTGTAGGAAGTCTACACCAGTTGACGTAGACGCTGGTCTGGCTTCAGCTGCATGATCTCGGAGGCCGTCTCGCATGCGGCCTTCATCATAACAGCTCGCTGGTGTAGTGTGTCTGCTTGTCTGAGTGTCACCCACCCCCTCTTAGCAGTCACCTATGGGAACGAGGTCTACAAAGTAGCAGGAAGCCCATGCTTGTGAGAAATACATTTTCTTGAACGTGAAAACTCTGGGAATACAGCCCATACATGTCGAAATGAAGGCCAGTCCGCACAACAAAAGGAACATGTCTTGCCTGACTGCCTTCGCGTCCCGGAGGCCTCACCAACAGAAAGACAGATGCAGAGCAACTTTCTGTCGGCCTCTGAAAGCTTCTTGACGAAATTCTGGAATACAGCACAAGACACAATATGAGGATCAATCTCCAAGATCTCATCCGCATCCGTACCCTAGCAATCGTACGCAGCCCATGTTCAAGTTTGCCTCGGTACCGTTCCTGGTGAGGCCGTCTCGTCCAGAATCGGTTAGTACCTGGCAGGAAACTCCAATGAACTGCATCAAGAACTCTGTGGTCATCATCAGGCTGCACTTCCAAGAGAACGCCCTGCTTTGGCGAAAACCTCACGAGGCTCAACCCAAGCACTTCTGCATGTGCAGACACTGCTGATTCAACAAACTGTGACCACACTTAGCTGTCATGGACCGCCGTCGTCAGTGCATACAACGCTCCTCCACACCGAGGGTGTAGGTGTATTCTCTGACCCCACAATCTGTGCCGACACCACCACTTAGACGAAGACCGAATCACGGCGTTGTGCAGCAGTGTCGCAACGTTCTCAGGCACCGGTGGCAGTACCGGTGAAGCCCAATACCACAACGGACTGATGTAACTGACAGCCAATCTTTCTCTAACATCTGCGAGTCCTGGAAAGCTGCCAAAAGTCACAACTGCTTGGTACACCTTCTCCCACACCAGCCGAGGTAAGATAGGATAATCATGATCAACAGGCCTTTCTCGAACTCCTACGTGCTCCACCAGTGCTGGTGGATCATCTTCTCTGGTCCAAAACTGTCTCGTTGCCTGGTTCTCGACGAAGCCGCAATCCCTGTCGAAGGTCGTCGTCATGTCGAGGTTGTTCTGTAACTGCTCTCTCGTTGCACTTGTGAGGCTCCTGTCATCCATGTACGCCTGTCCTGAGAACGGCCTCCACGGAGTATCATCATCACCACCAGATTCCGCATCATCATAATCAGCAGCAGCAGCAGCAGCATCATCATCATCATCATCATCATCATCATCATCGTCACCACCACCACCATCACCAGAATCATATCATAATCATCTTCATCATCCTCATCCTCATTATTGTCCTCCTCCTCACTATCATCCCCAGCATCATCAGCATCATCAGCAGCAGCGTCGTTGCCAACATCAGCATCAGCAGCATCAACATCATCATCATCACCACCATCATCACCAGCGTCATCATCATTATCGCCGTCATCGTCATCGTCGTCACCATCATCCTCACTAGTATCGCCCTCATCATCATCCTCATCATCATGAGCATCAGCATCAGCATCATCATCGCACTCGTCATCGTCATCATCATCACCATCATTATCAGCAGCAGTGCCATCATCGGCACCATCATTACATCACGTACAGCATCATCATCATCAGCATCATCGCCATCTGTATCATTATCATTGCCATCGTATTTGTCATTGCGGCATTCTCATCATCCTCATTACCCTCCTCATCATGATCATCACCACTGGCATCATCAACATCCTCAGCATCATCGCAAACATCATCAATATTATCAGCAACAACATGCCCAGCGTCATCAGCAGCAGCATCATGGCATCATAATGATCAACAATATCAGCAACAACCCCATCATAATCATCGAGGTAACCGTCATCAACAACACCATAATCACCATCCTGGTAATCATAATCACCATCATAATCATCGTCATCATCATCATCGTCATCAGCATCGACATTATCATCCTCATCATCATCGGCATAGGCATCATACGCGTCATCACAATCACCTGAATCATCAGCATCACAATTATCATCATCATCCTCACCACAATAGTCAGCATCACCATCATCATCATCATCACCACCACCATCATCAGCAGCAGCAGCACCGTCACCATCATCATCATCATCATCATCATCATCATCATCATCATCAGCATCATCATCATCATCATCATCATGGTCATCGTCGCCGTCTGCATGGTCGTCATCACCAGAATGACCATTATCAACACAATAACCGTCATCGTCATCATGATCACCATTCCCACCATCATCAGCATCGCCCTCATCATCACCAGCATCACAGAAGCGCTGGCCCTCCCCATGAGAATACCTCCCTTGCGTATGACATCGCGGGCGACCCTGCGCACGAAGACGAAGGGGCAGTGCGAGAGGGAGGAGATGGCAGACGAGAGGGTATAGAGTGGAGAGCGGGCAAGGTGGAATTGCACCAGGGGGAGGCTGACGAGGGGAGGAACAAGGAGGGTAGAGGAATGAGGAGATGAGCGGGGAATCGGCGGGTGCAGCCGGGATGAAAAGCGAGGGGAGGAGGGGAGAGGAGGGAGAGCAGGCAAGAAGGGAGGGCGAGGGGGTGGACGGGAAGGAGAGCAGGGGACTGGGAGGGGCTTATTCGCTTCATCCTTGCTCCAATCCCTTGCCATCCTCCTCCTCCTCCTCATCCACCTTCCCCCTCCTCCTCCTCCTCCTCCTCCTCCTCCTCCTCCTCCTCCTCCTCCTCCTACTCCTTCTCGATCTCATACTCCTCCTGCTCCTGCTCAACCTCCTCCTCCTCCTCCTCCTCCTCCTCCTCTCCTCCTCCTCCCTCCTCCTCCCCCTTCCCCCTCCTCCTCCTCCACTTCCTCCTCCTCCTCCTTCTCGATATGATACTCCTCCTGCTCCTGAACAACCTCATCCTCCTCCTCCTCCTCCTCCTCCTCCTCCTCCATCTCGTCGTCGTCGGCAGCATCACCATCGTCATCATGATCATCAGCAGCAGCAGCATCCCCTCCTCCTCATCATCCTATCCTTGTCCCTCCTTCTGTCTTCTCTTCCACATGCTCCACCTCCTCTCTCCCTCCGTCCTCCTTTGTTAGCCGCGACGTTGATCAGCGAGGATCGTCACGCCCCCTCCCTCCTCCTCCTCCTCCTCCTCCTCCTCCTCCTCCTCCTCCTCGTCCTCCTCGTCCTCCTCCTCCTCCTCATGCACATTAATATCATCCTAATGATTATATCACCATCATCTTCATCATCATTATCAGCAGCAGCAGCATCATCATCGTCCTCATGTTCTTCCTCATCCTCCTCCGCCTCCTCCTCCACCACTCCTCATCCTGATCCAAATCTTCCTCCTCCGCATCATCAACAAAAACATCCAGATCATCACCACCATGATGGCCATAGCCGTGAGGAACATAGCCATCGTCATCATCAGAAGCAGAACCCCAAAAGGGTGAAAACGGGGGGGGGCGTCGCCGCTGTCTGCCAGGCGCGGCGACGGCGACGACGACGGCGACGGCGACGGGGACGACGACGACGACGACGACCACGACCACGACCACGACGGCGACGATGACGACGGCGCCATTGGGCACGCCTCTGCCCCAGCAGGGCCCGGAGCGCCACGGCCAGCGCGGATCCTTCGGGAGCCGCTGGGTTCCCCGGGGGCCAGAGGCCAGCGTGCACGGCCAGCAGACACCTCTGCATCTCCTCCCTCATGCCCTTGCTCCTGCTCCTGGTCACACCTTCGGCTTCCTTCTGCCTCCTGCCTCCTGCCTCCTTCTGCCTCCTGCCTCCCTCCTGGCACCTGCCTCTTGCTCATGCTGCCTCCTGCCTCCTGCTCCTAGCTCCTGCTCCTCCTGCCCCTCCTGTTCCAGTTCCCCCTCCCCCTTTTACTGCTATTCCTCATCTTCTTGTTTACGTTGCGAGGACTCTGGGTGCAAAGCCTGTAGCGTTCATCAAAGAAGTAAAGGACACGGCAAGGAGGCAGGCCTCCTGACCTAGCAGCAGTTAGAAAGTAGAGGGGGAAATCCGTGCGAATGAAAAAGTAGGAATAGATAATGCAGAGTATGCTACATCTCCTCCGCCTCCTCCGCCTCCTGCACCGCCTCTTCCTCCTCCTCCTCCTCCTCCTCCTCCTCCTCCTCATCCTCCTGCACCTCCTCCTCATCCTCATCATCATCATCATCTTGCCCGCCCATGGCTGGCCGCCGAGCAGCACAGCGCGCCCGAGATCGCGACCAGCGCCGCGCTCGGGGCAGTGCTCCCCTGGAGTGAGATCCCGGTCGGGCGAGGCGAGGCTGCGGTGCGGGAGGCAGGACTGCAGGGACCCAGGGACACTCGTGCAGACCAGCACACACACACACCAGGATTCCCCCCTGTCCCCTCTGTCCTGGAAGCTCGCCCTCCCCTCCGCTTTCCCTGTCTTCCCATGTCTTCCTGGGAAGAGCGGCGTTCGCCTCTGTCTGTGTCCCTCTCCCCCCACTGCAAGGCCCCCCGGCGGCGGCGGCAGGCAGCGGCGCGAAGGGGCCAGAAGCCAGCAGCGGCTCGACGGACGAGGGGGGCGCGCAGAGGGGGGTAGGGGGAGGGAGGAAGGCTTCTTAGAAGGGGGCTGCTTCTTAGAAGGCACCGGCCTTCCATGTGCAGAGAAGGCCCGCGCCTCCTAAGAAGCAGGGGGTGCTTCCAAGAAGCCTTCCCCCCTTCCCTGACCCCCCTCTGCGCGTGGCCGAGGACGGGGAGGGGGGTCTGGCGCCCCAGAACGACCGCCGCCCCCTGCCCCAGCTGCCGCAGAGGCCTCTCGGCCCTGCGGGTGCTCCGCGCCGGGCGCGGGGCTTCCGCCGCCCCGTGCCCCGGCTGCCGCGGAGGCCTCAGCCCTCCAGGTGCTCCGCGCCGGGGGCCAGGTCCAGGATCCTGAGGGTGCGAAGGGGCCCTGGGACACACGAACAAATACACACAAATCAACGGATCCCCCATATGTTCTCATGTTTTCTGGGTTTTCTTGCCTTCCCCCCCCCCCCAAGTCCCATATTTCCCCATATTCTCCTGGGAGTGGACGATTGACTGTGTCTGTGTGTTTTTTGCCCCTCCCGAGGGGGATCCTGAGGCCCTCCCCCTCCGGGTCCGCCGCCCAGAACGCGACGAGCCGGCCGCACACCTGAGAGAGCAGAGAGCAGCACGGCCATCAAAAAACTCTCGGCGCTCCTCCGATCGTCACCATCTTCACCATCACCATCATAGGGGGCCACCATCACCATGCGACCGGCGAGCCCCCCCCTCGCGGCATCCGCCTCGCTCTGCGCTTCCTCGCACCTCCGCAGATCTACGCTCAATTATGCAGTTGGCCGCGCTCCTCTTGTAGCGCTGCCAGCTTGCGGCAGCCACACACGCGTGTTGGCAAACATATTGTGTGACCCTTCTCGGAAGCCCTCGGGAGGAGCCCTCGGGAGCCCAGCGGGGCTGGTGTGACTCCGTGTTGGCCCCGTGACCCCACGGGGCTGTGTGATCCCGTGTCGGCCATGGCCGCCGCTCCCATACAGAGCCCTGGCGACGCGAACTAAATGACCGAACATGCGACGTCCTGATTTTTCTATACGGTCATCGGCCTGACCTAAGGAACGATCAATCAGGGACGAAGCTCCTTTTTTATCCCAAGGAATCTAACGCATAAGGAACGAGAAATAACAAATAACGCATAAGGAACTGGAAATAACGCATGCAAGCCGAAGGAAAGACCGAGCCCCTTTTGAAAAGTAGGTGTTCCTTATTCAAGCCGCTCACTGTACGCGGTCCCCCGGAAGTCCCGACCCTTTCCCTGGGGCCAATGATTCATCCCGAGTCGTTTTTAGGATGGCCCCGGGGCCCAGTGAGCACCCCGCGAGGCCGAAGATAGCGAAAAAACTCTCGCCTGGACTTTCCCTGAGATCCGACGTCTCGAAAAAGTTGAAGCATCGTGAAAAATCACGACTGGAGCCCTAGACCCCATCTTTCTGCGCCATTTCTCGGCCAGATCGATCTGTGAGGGTCCGAAGGCCCGCATCTGGGCGAAAACGCCCAACTCGAAAAAATTGAGCCGCCGGGATCAGGGTTTTTACGACGCGAGCATGTCTGGGTGGACGGCGCCAGTCTCTTCCCAGACCCCCGACGTCATGACTTTTTCATAACGTCGATCCCCAGAGGTCTTGACCCATTCTGCGGGACGGGTTTCTCGTCCTGAGTTGTTTTTTGACGGTCCCGGGGCCCGGAGAAGGCCCCCAGAGGCCGAAAGCAGCGAAAACTCACCCGTCGCGATTTTTGTCACAACCCGAGGGGGTCTGGGGTTCTTTTTGTGGATGCCGTGACCATGGACACTCTAACAATCCTATCGTTGAATTAAACACGTGTTAAAAATGTGGAAAACATTTTATCAAAATGTTGAGTGCAGCGGCAACGGCTTCCGGAAATCCATCCGACCGATAAACCGATCAACCGATAAAAACTAATCGGTTGAACGGTTTGCAAGCCGATCAACCGAAAAACCGATATAATTTGATCGGTTTATCGGTGGATCGGTCGCTCAACCGAAAAACCGATAATCTTCGTATGCGAACATAGAGGCGATTGCTGGCGCGCCCCCCTCTCTTCGTCGGTTTATCGGTTTATCGGTTTATCGGTTCATCGGTTGACTGGCTGGTCTGAGACCGCTGGGGGGGAACCTGTGGAGGCGATCCTTGTGCCGCATATCGGTTTATCGGTTTATCGGGTTATCGGCTGGTTGTCAGTCCCCCGCCACGACGACGACGGCGACGGCGACGGCGTGAGGTTCGCGTTTGGCTCTGGCGCGGACGGCACCCACGATGGCCAACACCCAGCGCTCCTGCTCTGCGTATGTCTGAATACACATGATCCGCCGACCCCCGCTACCTGGAGTTCAAAAGGCGTGTGAGATTCTTGGCTGTCTCCCCCCCTTTCCCCCTGGAACGGCTCCGGGTAATCCCGCGACGGTTCGAAGTGGCCAGACGGCCACCGAGGCTGCCAAGACGGGCCAAGAGGCCAAGTCGGCCCAAAAGGCCCCCAGGACGGCTCCGCGGCAGCACAAGGAGGCCTCCAAGACGGCCCGAGAAGCCTCCAAGACTGTCCAAAAGCCCCCCCGGGACGGCTCTGCCAAGGGCCCACGCGGGGGGCTCGAGCGGACACTTCGAACCCTCGTCCCGAAGATGCCCTCAACAGGCCTAAAGAAGCACCCGAGAGGCCCCGAAGAGGCTCCGAAAAAGGCCTCAGAAGCCGAAAGGTGGCCCAAAGAGTTTCCCGACCGGCCCCGGTTTTCCCACTGCCTCGACATCGCCATTAACATCGTGTTCCTCTTTCTCCTCCTCCTCCTCCTTTTCCCCCTCCTCTCTGTCATCGTCTTCCTCCTCCTCCTCCTCCTCCTCCTCCTCCTCCTCCTCCTCCGCCTCCTCCTCCTCCTCCTTCCTCTGGGGGTCGGCGGAATGGCGCAGGCCACTTGGAAAAGTTTTCGAGACACTGCGTTGAGTTCTCTCAGCATGTGCTCGCTCTTGTTGTCCGGGTGGCAAATCCACCACAGATTCGCCGGCCCAACGGGCCAGAGGCGTGCTAGGATCTCCGAGTATTGTTAAACAATATTCTAGTTCGCGAGCGCGGGGCGGGCCCCGTGAAAGGGAGCCGAGACGCCGAAAGATCAATGCAAAACGCCCAAGATGGCCTCAAGACGGCCCGACAAGTCTTCAAGACGCCCCAAGAGGTCTCTAAGCGGCGTCCCAGGAGGGCCCAAATCGCAAAAGTCGTTTCGTTCCCTAGGGGACACGTACATTTTTTGACGTATCCGCATCTTCGGCTTTCACGCCTCCCCCACATAATTAAGACATAAGTAATACATAGTTAAGACATGATTAAGACATAGTTTAGGCATAATGAAGACACCATTAGGACATCATTGAGACATAATTAAGACATTGTTAAGACATAATGAAGACATAAATAACATACATTACGACAGAGTTAAGACATACTTAAGACACAGTTGAGACATACCTAAGACCTGAATAAGACATAACGAAGGCATAAACAAGATATGATTAAGACATAATTAGGACATACTTAAGACATAGGTAAGACATCACTGAGACACACATAATACATAATTATTAAATGACTAATAGTTCACAAATAATCTAGACATGACTTATATATCATTAAGACATGATGAAGACACATGGCACCGGAGAAAAACATCGCATGTTGGGGCTATGGGGCTATAGGGCTATGGGGCTTTAGGCCTATAGGGCTACAGGGCTATTGGGCGATTGGGGTGTAAGGTTTTAGGGCTATGAGGCTGTAGGGCTATAGGTCTTGTAGGGCTATGGGGCTATAGGGCTGTAGGGCTATAGGGCTATAGGGTTATAGGACTACATGGCTACAGGACAATTGGGCTATTGGGCTATAGGGCTGTAGGGCTATAGGGCTATAAGGCTATAGGGCTGTCAGAGGGCCAGGGCGATAGGGCTATAGGGCTGGGGCTAATCGGCGGCGGCGCAGCCAACCTAACCCGAAATCGGCCACCGAAATCGGCGGCGCAGCCAACCTAACCCTTTTATGCGCTAGGACCCCATACAGGGGCAAGCTCTGCTTGTGCAACTTAAGACATACTTAAGACATACTTAGCACATAATTAAGACATAACTAAGATATGAATAAAACATAATGAAAACATGGTTAAAACATGATAAAGACATGATTAAGACGTAATAAAGACATACCTAAGACATACTTAAGACATACTGAAGACATGATGGAAACATAAACAAGACATGATTAAGACAAAATTGAAACGTAATTAAGACATAATTACAACATAACTAAGACATGCTTAACACATACTTATGCTTAATACATACTTAAGACATAATCAAAACAGAATTAAAACATGATGAATACACGACTAAAACATAATTAAAACATGGTTGAAACATAAGTATGACATAATCAAAACATATTTAAAACATGATCAAAACAAAATCAACCCATACTTAAGGCATACTTAAAACATAATTAAGACAGGTTTAAAACATGATTAAGAGAAACTTCACTCATGATTGAGGCATACTTAAAACGTAATTAAGACATAATTAAGACAGACTTAAGACATTACTAGTATATAACTACTGCATAAGTAAGACATAATTCAAACATATGTAAGACATCGATAAGACATACTGAATACATAGCTATGATCTGAATAAGACATAATTATGACATAATTAAAAACATGATGAAAACATAACCGAGGGATGCTTAAGGTATAATTAAGGCATAACTAAAACATCAATAATACATAATTCAAACATAATTGAGACATACTTACTTAAGACATAAATAAAACATGAGCAAAAATGACATAATTGACACATGCTTGAGACATAATTAAGAAATGATGAAACATACTTAAGATATAGTTAAGAAATCAGTCATACAGACTTAAGAGTTAATCAAGACGTAGTTAAGACATAATCAAGACATAATTCGGACATGGTTAACACATAGCGCATACATACCTAACACATAAGTAAATTTGGACATAAATAAGAAACAATTAAGACATAATTGAAACAGACTTTCAACATATTCCAAACATACTGAAGGCATATATAATACATAATGAAGAAATGATGAACACATGATTAAGGTATGATTCAGACATGATTAACACATGGTTGATACATAATTGAAACCAATTAATACGTAATTACGACATAAATAAGACTTATGTAAGACATAGTTAGGACATAAGCACGACATGCTCAAGACATAATGAGGACATGATGAAGACATAATCAAGAAAAAAAGTAAAACATAATTAAGTAAGGCACCAGTAAGAGATAGTAAGACATAAGACAGATTAGTCAAGAGCCTCAGGAGGAGGGAGGAGGAGGGAAGGGGGGAAGGAAGAAGAGGATCAGGGGAAGATGAAGGGGGCGGGGGATGAACGTGGCGGAACAGGAGGAGGAGGAGGGGGAGGAGGAGGAGGAGGAGGAGAAAGCAGACGGAGCCAATCGCCACCAGTCCAATGCCAGACGGTCGGGGGCAGCTCTCACCACGTTCTCCACGGCGCGGGCAGCTCGCGCCGCTGAGCGAGAATCAAAGGCAGCTTTCGCCGCCCAGGACCCCCCCGTCGCCGCGCTTGCAGCTCTCGCCGCTCAACAGCGCCCGCGCGCGCGAGCGAGACGGCGCAGCTCTCGCCACGCAAACCCCCTCTTAAAAATGCCCCGGCCGCTCGCACGAGCGACGGGCGGGGGCGGCCCCCGCCGCCGGACCGCTCGCGCCGCTGAGCGAGGATCAAAGGCAGCTCTCGCCGCCCAGGGCGCCCACGTCGCCGCGCTGGCGGCCCCCGCCGCCGGACCGCGCCCGAACCCGCGGGCGCGGCTGCGCGCGGCCCCCGCCAAGCGGCAGGGGTCGGAGCCGAGTCGCCGCTTAGTCGCCGAGTAAAATAAAGCTTATCCAAGGCCACTTGTCGCCGTCCACGCGCGGCGGCGCCCAGATGCCGAACTCTTCCGATGGCGAGAAAACTATGATGAGGCCGCCGAGGATTCGGAACGACCTGTGCCCGAGCACAAAGCGCACCTGGGAACTCACAGGCGTTCTGTCAGACTGGCACAGCGCAGCCACTGCGAACTTGAACACGAATCGCAATTTGCGCAAGCAGCAATGTTCGCACGACGCACACCCGCGGCTAGAGCAGGTCGCACACTGCGTCGTACATGCGGAGTGCGCCCAACAGTGTCTGGAAGAAGTCACGGCCGGTGGCACGTGGACCACGCGCGGCTCACCGGGCGCCGGCCGCTTGGAATGGCAGCAATTCTCACCCCGCTGCACGAACACTTCCACCTTGGGCCAGATAACGGGAATGTGGCAAGCGCTTGCTAGAATCCATGCCCATGTTGGTCATGAATTGCGCCGCGTCCGTCAAAGCCTTCGTCTCGAACGGCGAGTCGATGAACGCGGCGCAGAGGAACAGCGCGCCGACGCTGCAACCCTCGGGCCCCACCCACGCACCTTTGAAGGAGCTCCAACCGCAAACGTAGCAAGCCCCGCTGATGCGGGGGTCGGGGACGAAGGCTTGCCCCATCCGGAGGTAGCACTATTTCAGTTTATCCCCCGCTATCTTCATACCGGCGCGAAGGGCAACAGGCAGAGCGACAAACTGAACTGGCGCACGGTTGGGATCAAGGCCCAACCACTGCGGCTCAACCGCGAGCGCAGAGGAAGCGCTGACACAATCCCTCACATGGGTGGCCCAGCATGGCTTCCCGACTCGCCGGTCGCACAAAGAGCAGACGATGACGTCCCGTTGGTTTAAAGGCCCGGGTGGTTTATCATACGGGCCGCCGCGCATGGCTGAGAGTTGCGCCCGGATCCGCAATAGGACACGCGACGCCAGCAGCTTTCGCCGCAGCTCGCGCTACAGCGATAACCTGATACGGCTAAGACCGAGGGGGGAAGGAGAAGGAGGATGGGGGAGGAGGAGAGGGGAAATGCGACCCCCCCCAAAAAAAAAACCAGAGAAGGAGAGGAAGGGGGAGCTGGAGGCACCCCCGCCAAAGCGCCGTAGAAACCGAAAACGTCCTAGCCCGAAATGCCCCGCCAGATTTTGCCTCCCACAAACCCCGCCCTCCCCCCGCCACTCCTCCCTCCATCCCTCCTTCCCAACTCCAATCCCCCTCCCCCATCCCTATTCCCTCCACCCCTCCATCCCCTCTTTTCTCAAATGCCCCTTCCCGAATCGAATCCAACCCTCCCTCCCTCCATCTCTCCTTCCCGCCCCCCCCCCTTTCCAGTTTTTCTTTCTGGATGGGCCTGGGCACTGGGCCTGGGAGAGGAGGAGACAGGAAATTCGAAATTTCCCAATCCGAAAGAGGGAGGGGAGGGGAGAGATGAGACGTGGACCCGGGGTGGGGGACCCACGCAGCCTGGCTATCACACCAAATGCCCGCCGCCATGCCCTGGCTTTCGCACCGCATGCGGGCGACGAAATGCCCAACCAGATTTGGCCTCCGTGCCCCTGGGCACGGAGCGGGCGTGCCCTCAGGTCCTTCGCCCAATCCCCTGGGCCTCAGGAGGAGGGAGGAGGAGGGAAGGGGGGAAGGAAGAAGAGGATAAGGGGAAGATGAAGGGGACGGGGGATGAACATGGGGGAACAGGAGGAGGAGGAGGGGGAGGAGGAGGAGGAGGAGGAGGAGGAGGAGGAGGAGGAGGAGAAAGCAGACGGAGCCAATCGCCACCAGTCCAATGCCAGACGGTCGGGGGCAGCTCTCACCACGCGCTCCACGGCGCGGGCAGCTCGCGCCGCTGAGCGAGAATCAAAGGCAGCTCTCGCCGCCCAGGACCCCCCCGTCGCCGCACTTGCAGCTCTCGCCGCTCAACAGCGCCCGCCCGCGTGCAGGGACGATCTGCAGCTGTCGCCGCAGCTAGGGCTACCACGCAGCTTACGTCTGCGGCTGACCCCCGATATCCTCACGGCGAGAAGAGCGCGATATCCCCGGCGCCCTCCATCGCGAGCAAGCACTCCCCGGTCGCCGCCGACCAGACCTTCACGACGTCGTGGTGAGAAGCGGTCACCACGTGTCGGCCGTCTGGCGAGAAAGCGGCCGATGAAATGTCGCCCAGCGGGCCGCCTAGCGTGCGGGGCGCGCACCCGGAGTCGCAAGTTTTTCTGTATTTTTCTGGTATGCGTCCTCGGCCGAACAATCGCAGTACCGTCCCAGGACGCAGTGAGAACCTGACCACTTGGCGAGAAGGCAGCGCAATGCACCCAGTCCTGGTGGCTCTCGAGTATGCGCAGGCATTCCGAGGTGGTGGCAGACCATATTCTCACCGCCATGTCGATCGAAGTCGTCAGCACTTCGCGGCCGCTCGCAGCAAACAATGCGACTAACAACGGGCCCCCATGCCCGCGGAACGTGCACTGGCACACCCCCGAGGACGCCGACCACAGCTTCGCTGTCCAGTCTTGCGAGGCGGTCAGCATGTCTCTGCCGTCTGGCGAGAATACTGCGCTATGGATCTCCGCGAGGCTTTCGGAGAGAGCGAGCACGCGCTGCCCACGCGAAACAGACCACACTGACGCCGACGGGCACTTCGACTTTGCGAAGCGCCCCAAGGTCACCACTCTCAGGGAGTCGGGCGAGAAGACCCCGCGGTGTCCAGGCAGAGTGCATAGGCGCTTCCCGTCAGCGGCGGACCAAATGACTGTCGGCCCCCAAGCGCCAATGGTCAGCACGAGAGGAGGAGGAGGAGGAGGAGGAGGAGGAGGAGGAGGAGGAGGAGGAGGAGGAGGGAGGAGAGGAGGAGGAGGAGGAGAGGAGGAGGGGAGGAGGAGGAGGGGGATTATGATGGGGAGGAGGAGGAAATGAGGAGGGGGAGGTGGGAAGGGAGCATAGGCAGGAGGCCGGATGAGGAGGAGAGGGAGGGGGGGAACAAGGGAGGGGAATGGGGGACGGATGTGAGAGTGTGGGCAGGAGGGGAAGAGGGAGGGAGGACGAGCTCCCCAGGAATGGTGGTCAGCTGGAACGCCGAGAAGGGGCTCACGGGGGCCGCGGCCCTGTGCGCGCAGAACCATGGGCGTCGGGGCCAGTGAGGGAGGGAGGGAGGAGAGGGAGGGAGGGAGGATCGGAACGGAGGAGGGAGGAGGAGGAGGAGGAGGAGGAGGAGGAGGAGGAGGAGGAGGAGGAGGCGGAGGCGGAGGAGGACTAGGAGGAAGAGGAAGGGGAGGCGGAGGAGACTAGGAGGAAGAGGGGGAGGGAGGACTAGGAGAACCATGGGCGTCGGGGCCAGTGAGGGAGGGAGGGAGGAGGGAGGAGAGGGAGGGAGGGAGGGAGGATCGGAACGGAGGAGGGGGGAGGAGGAAGAGGAGGAGGAGGAGGAGGAGGAGGAGGCGGAGGCGGAGGAGGACTAGGAGGAAGAGGAAGGGGAGGACTAGGAGGAAGAGGAGAGAGAATTTCGAAGGATTACCCATTGGACAACCACGACAACGCCGGGCCGATAAACCGATCAACCGATCAACCGATAAACTGAAACATCCGATATACCGATAAACCGATAAACTGATAAAACCAAGCTGTGCTGAGATTCGGGCACGCATGCGATGAGTCGGTTTAGTGGTTGATCGGTTTATCGTCAGATCGACCGATAAACCGACATAATCATATCGGTTTATCGGTCGATCTGCCGATAAACCGATCAACCGAAATAGTTTATCGGTTGATCGGTTTATCGGTTTATCGGTTTTATGTTCGTGTCCTGCGGCTGCAATCAAAATGTTTCAAACAGGCTTTCACATATTTGAAACATGTGTGAAACATGTTTTAGACATCTGGAAATCATTTGGCAGAATGCTTCCACAAACCAAGTCGTGCTCTTTGGCGCTCTGCGCGGATTTATTGGATCTGCGCTGGAACCCCCCTCCCTGGCGCGCGGAGCGCGGCAGGGGCGGCGTCGGAGGCGCCGCCAGGGGGGCCCAGCGCGGATGCAAGAAATCCGCGCGGACCTCCGAAAGTTTATGTAATGTGTACGCTTCTCTCCTTCGAAGGACCTCGGGGCTTTCACGACGCGACCATGTCTGGGTGGACGGCGCCAGCTTTCCCCCTCCTCGAGCACCAAGTCGTGGTCGCCCTTCCTTCGAGGGACCTCGGGGCTTCCACGACGCGACCGTGCCTGGGTGGACGGCGCCAGCTTTCCCCCTCCTCGAGCACCAAGTCGTGGTCGCGGCGCAGGAGCGACGCGTCCTGTGGGAAACACAGAGACATACTAGTACTGTATGTCCTCCTTGGATGCGAGCGTCCGACCCGAAATTATATAGTACACCCGTCTTGTGGTAGATCGTTTCCCGAGCGGTGTGGCCAGAAAGCGCACGCCACGACGCATATACTATAAGATTTCTCGGTGCGCGCGCCGCCCCTGGGGGAGGGGAGGAGGGGGAGGGAGGGGAGGAGGGGGAGGAGGGGGAGGAGGAGAGGAGGAGGAGGAGGAGGAGGAGGAGGAGGAGGGGAGGAGGCGGAGGGGGCGACGCGCATATAGTATGAGTATGTTGGGGTGTTGCCGAATCCTGCACCCGCCACGGCCCGCCCCGGAAGCCGCCGGCCAGGCCGCGGCGCAGCTCCAGGAGCCGGAGCTCCCCGATCTCCACGGCGAGGCCGCCGGGCGCCCGGGGGCACGGCACCTCCCAGGCAGGGAGGGCGTCTCGGGGGGTCTCCGATGTGCTCGATCGATGCTCGGCCTTCGATGGGATCCTCGGTCCTCGATGCAGGATCCTCGATATCCTCGATGGAGGATCCTCGATCCTCGACGGAGGATCCTCGGTGCTCGCGGCGGCGGGGGAGCCGGGAGCCCGAAGGCCGGGCCACGCCAGGCGGGCCAGGCGCAGAGCGCGACTGGATCGGAAGCAGACCGCGAAGCGCGCTACTCAGACATCGGGCGTCTCGAAAAAATCGACGACGACGGCGGCGACGACGACGGCGGCGACGACGACGGCGGCGACGACGACGACCTCGGGTTTGCACAGACGCTCTCCCCACAGAAGCGCTCGGCTAAAGGATCCTGGCTGCTCGCACGGCCCCGCTCAGTGCCATTGCGCGGGGGCGCGGGACCCAGACATCGGGCGTCTCGAAAAAATCGAGACGACCATTTTTCATCGTTTTCGGCCCCTGGAGGCCCTTACCAGGCCTCGAGACCGTCAAAAAACGATTCGGGATAAAAAACCGGCCCCAGGGAAGTGGTCGAGAGATCGGGGGCCCGTGTCTCGAAAAAATCGAGAGGCCGGATGTCTGGGCATGGGAGCTTCCCATACCATCCCAAATATGCTCGCGTCATGCGAAAATCAGGACGGGAGGTGTTTCGCTATGTTCGGCCTCTGGAATTCCTTCCTGGGCCCCGGGGCAGTCAAAAACGACTCGGGATGAAACACTGGTCCCAGGGAAAGGGTCGGGACTTTCGGGGGGCCGCGTATTGAAAAAATCAGGACGTCGCATGTCTGGGATACCGCCTTGATGGCTCTTGCGATATCGGCGCTGAGCGACGCGAGTCAACGCTAATCGGCGGTAATCCGGCACTAATCGACGCCATTCGACGCTAAATCGGCGCCATCCCATCGATGACGAGACGCTAATCGACGCTGGTGCACTCTGAAGACGGACGTACGAGTGTATACAGTAGGGGCATGATCACAAGAAACCTTCCACAAGAAACCCAACCTTGAGACCCCAGGATGTCCATCAATTCTTGGTGCGGGAGCACCGCGCCTTCCACAGCAAGACCATCGAAATCCAAGAAACCCAGGGCACCCTGAAGGCGAGCAGGATGCTTCTTGGCATGGGCCTCCGCTGTTCAAGGCTCCCACGCTTTGCCACCGAACTGGAGCATGTCCTTCGGGGCCCACCTCTTCGAGGAGGGCGCGCTTCCTCGAGGACGTGGCGGCCCCACTGGCGGCGACCCCCCTGGGCACTGCCCCAGGGCAAGGGGCCTCGGCCGGTCGGTCGAGGTTCAGGAGGAAGACGACGACGACGACGACGACGACGACGACGACGACGACGACGACGACGACGACCGAGGTTCAAGGATCGCCTCGATTGATCGGCCGAGGTCCGAAACTCTCGGCATCTGCTACTGGACGGCACCAGCCCGAAGGTCTTCAGCTGCACGAAACTGCGGCCCACCACGCGCGCGATGGACGGCATGCTCGCCGAGGGCACCCGGAAGGGCAGCGTGCACCGGCGCGGCTCGACGAGCGGGGCGCCCCGGTCGTCGGCGAAGCGCCAGACGTGCAGCCGCCGATCGCACCCGTCGACCCGGTCCGCGGCGACGACGGCAAGCGCCCCTCCGCGGAAGTCCGCGGAGAAGTCGGAGACCTCCTCGGACCTGGAGGAGGAAAGAGCGGCGCGGGCATATGGGCCAGACAGGCAGCGTCTTGGAGTCGGGACGGGGGTCTCAGTCGTGTTCCGCCCCTGGGGGCCCTTGCTGGGCACAGGGCCCGTCGAGAAACGACTCGGGATCAGGATGGAAAGCCTATCCCGAGGAAAGGGTCAGAACTTCGGGGGACTGCGTAATGAGAAAATCAAGACCTCGCCTGTCTGGAAGCCTTCGGAGCACCGCGCAACTTCCTCAGGTCGGTGCTGCCCCCCCCCCCTTCCCTGGCGGCGCCGCCAGTGACGGGAGGCCCCAGCCGAGAAATCCGCGCGGAGCTCTGAAGGTGTATCCTTACAGTCGGGGCGTTGACCTAAGGAACCCTAAATAAGGAACGAGGCCCCTTTTTTACATGAGTGAACCTTCGATTTCCTGTCGAAAACATAAGGAAAGCCTGAGGCAAGCTGTGAAACACTTAAGGAACGCGGAGCCCCTCCCCAACGAAAAGGGTTCCTTCTTCAGCGCCCCGGCCGTATCCTTGTGCCGCGCTTTCTTCCTGGAAGACCTCGAGAGCGCTAGAGTGATGGCCTCCTTTGGGGGGCCCACGAAAAACCACACCGCCACTCCCTGGACCTCTCCTGGGGCGCGCTCTGGCCAAAATGACGACGCGAACCCAGCCGTGGCGACGAGGGCCTCCCAGGAGGCCCGCAGAGGCGAAGAAGAGGCGAGGGTAGAGGAATCGGTACCTCTTCCTCCTCCCGGTCCCCCGACGTCATGATTTTTGTTCACGCCGTGCACCCCTGGGCGTCGCGACCCGTCCATTCCCTGGGACCAGCTCTCCCTCCCGAAAATCGTTTTGTCGCGGTCCTGGGGCCCTGCGAGGGTCCCCGCCGGCAGAAGATAGCATGAGCAAACCCGTCGTGCTTTTTTCCATGACCCGAGGGGGTCTCCTCCTCCTCCTCCTCCTCCTCCTCCTCCTCCTCCTCCCTCCTCTCCTCCTCCTCCCTCCTCCTCCTCCTCCTCTCCTCCTCCTCCTCCTCCTCCTCCTCCTCCTCCTCATCCTCCTCCTCCTCCTCCTCCTCCTCCTCCTCCTCCTCCTCCTCCTCCTCCTCCTCCTCCTCCTCCTCCTCCTCCTCCTCCTCCTCCTCCTCTCTGATCCGCTCACGAGCTGACAACTAACACCCATACCTATACATCCTTCAAAAATTCCCTGGGGTGGAAAAATGTGGGGGCTATGGGTGTGTGTGTGTGTTGTTGGATGGGGGTCCCCGCTAGAACGGAAGCCTCCCTCAGGGTCCGAGAACTCACACCCATGCCTATTGCGACTTCATCGCCTTGCGCTTCCCCATTCCTCCTCCCTACACAGTCGACCCGTATCATAAGGATGCGCGGTAATGCTGCAAGGGCATTGAAGGGCCAAGTCAACGTATTTCGAACGAGGTTGGCCAGTGAAAGTGGCCAAGGAGCGACCGAGGATGCAAGGATGCAAGGACACCCTTCTTAGGAATGTTGCCCATCCTCACTATGCGGGTCGACCGCAGGTTTGAGTGTGAGTGGTTCGTGGAGCAGCCTCGGCCAGTGGGACCCCTGGCCGCACCCGGACGAGGTGGAAGACCTTAGCAGAAGAAAAAACGGCATAAACATAAACTCTTGGCGCTCCGCGCGAACTCCTTGGATCTGCGCTGGAGCCCCTCCCTGGCGCGCTCCGCGCGCCGAGGGCGGCGCCGGAGGCGCAGCCCGGGGAGGGGGGCCAGCGCGGATGCAGGAAATCCGCGCGGAGTGCCAAAAGTCTGTGCCTATGCCGCTTTCTCTTCCTCGAGGCCTGCCCGCTGTCCAGGACGCCGAGGTCGAAGCCGCGGGACGCCGCCGGCCGCGACACCCCGACGTGGAGGATGCGGCGGCCCGGATCGCCAGCCGCCCCGCCCGAGGGCGGCAGCCCCCAGCTGTGGGTGACGGCCACCGCCTCGCAGGACCAAACGCGCACGTCGCCGCGCTCCTGGGGAGACAACCACGACGACGACGACGACGACAACGACGACGTCGGCGGCGACGACGACGACGACGACGGCGGCGACGACGACGACGACGACGACGACGACGACGACGACGGCGGCGGCGGCGACGACGGCGGCGGCGGCGGCGGCGGCGACGACGACGGCGGCGGCGGCGGCGGCGGCGACGACGACGGCGGCGGCGACGACGGCGGCGGCGACGACGGCGGCGACGATGACGACCCTGGGTCTGCACAGACGCTCTCCCCGCAGAAGCGCTCGGCAAAAGAATCCTGGCTGCTCGCGCGGCCCCGCTCAGTCCCAGTGCGCAGGGGCGCGGGGGCGCGGGAGAGTCGCTGCTCATGCTGGGGGCCTTCCTGGAGCCGCCCGCTCTGCTCGTGCGTCGAAGCTGAGTCGAGCGTCCGTCGAGTCGATTCGACCTTGATGGTAGGCTTGCTTCCCGCCACCACCACCATAAGTAGGAGGGTGAGGGGGGCCTCCTCCTCCTCCTCCTCCTCCTCCTCCTCCTCCTCCTCCTCCTCCTCCTCCTCCTCCTCCTTCTCTTCGTTCTTCTCCTCATCCTCCACCTCCTTCCCCCCTCCAATGTGTGGTGGTGGTGGTGGAAAACAGGCCCATGACTTGAGTCGAACCTGAGTCAAGCTTGAGTCGAACTTGAGTCGAAGTGGGTTCGAACTAGAGTCGAACAGATCCGTGAGGTGGGCCCCAGGAAGGTCCCCGAGACGAGCATCCAAGGAGAGACCGCAGAACAGGGCCAGCAGCTCGGTGGCCTTGGTCGGCGTGGCCGAGGCCTTGCACTCATCGCGCACGGCCAAGGCTCGGTGCTCGAGCGCACAGGTCGTGAACAAAAACACGACGGACGGTTCTTCACCAGTTTTGGCCTCCTGGGGCTCTCGCCGGGCCCCGGGACCGTGACAGAACCCACTCGGGATGCCAAGCAGGTCCTGGAGATGGGGTCCGGACGTCCGGGGGTCCACACCGTGAGAAAAAAGTCTAGGTGGCGACATCCGAACCCCACCGCACCAAGCATCGATTCTCCTGAGTCGGCGGAAAGGCGGGGGTACACCCTGCGAAATGCTTAAGAAGTCATGGGTTAAGAAATTCATCGTCTCAGAACTTGAATAAAAACCCTACATTTCTATTCAAATCTTAGGAATTACATTGAAACTTTAAGAATAATCGAGACTGTGGCCGAAAATTTAGGTTTTCTTAAGCATCGCCTAAGGTGTAGGGGTTGGATGTCGCCACCTGCTCCACGAATGCCAAACCCTAACCCCCCCGCCGCCCCTCGAGGTGCCCGAGTCGTTGATCGGCGAGGGCGCAGCTCGGACTTCGCCTCCGAGTCAGCACGTCGGGGCTGTGGGAAAATGGTACACCCTGCGAAATGCTTTAGAAATCATGGATTAAGAAATTCATAGTCTCAGAATTTGAATAAACATCCAGAATGTCTATTCAAATCTTAGGATCTACATTGAAACATTAAGAATAATCGAGACTCTGGCCGAAACCTTGGGTTTTCTTAAGCATCGCCTAAGGTGTACCAACATAAACCTTCGGAGCTCCGCGCCGACTTCTTGGGGGCAAGGGGCTGGGAAGACGCAGGGCACGACCCTGAAAGCAAGCACGCTTGGCATGCACGATTAAACACGAGGGGTCTGATCGTCTCTCCCGACCCCAGCCTCTCCCAACCCGATGGCTGCCTTCCTGGCTTCGGGGGGTCCACACCATGAAGAGTCTTCGCGTCGAAGCTCTGGGACAACGGTGCAGGCATGAACCCTCGGAGCTCCGCGACGACGTCTCGGGGATCCTCGCTGGCCCGCGCCCGGAGGCGGCGCCGGGGGCGCCGCCGGGCAGGACCCCAGCGACGGTCCGAGAAGTCTGCGCAGGCGGCCACGAGACGTCGTGCCTCACGGACCAGCTCGCCCAAGATGAAGGGGCCCTGGGACACACAAGTAAATACACACAAATGGAAGGATCCCCCATCTGTTCCCATCTGTTCTGTGCTATTGTCTTCCCCCCCACTTCCCATATTTTCCATATTTTCTGAGGAATCGTCGATTAATTGTGTCTGTGTGTTTCTTCCCTCCTGACAAGAGAGGGACAGTTGGTCGGAAGATTGGGGGGCGGACGATTACCAGGACGACGACGGAGAACTGGAGATGCACAAGCAGTATGGGTCACAGCTCGACCTGCCGCAGATGCGAGAGTAAAAAAAAGGGAGGGGAAAACGAAGACGAGGGCACGGAGGAGTTGGAGGAGGAACAGGGGGCACAGGACGAGGCAACAAAGCAGCACGAGCACGAGCCTCAGGTCGGGCATGTCCTCCTGCAGGCGAGTGTTGGAAGAAATATAATGTGTCTGTCTGTCTGTCTGTCTGTCTGTCTGTCTGTATGTATGTATGTATGTATGTATGTATGAATGTATGTGGGTGTGTCGGTCTGTCTGTCTGTATGTGTCTGTATGTGTGTATGTTTGTATGTATGTGTATGCATATGTGTATGCATAAAAATATATGTATGTATGTTTGTGTGCATGTATGTATGTATGTATGTACGTACGTATGTATGTATGTATGTATGTATGTAGGTATGTATGGGTGTATGTATGTATGTATGTGTACATGTATGTTTGTATGTATGTATGTATGTATGTATGCATGTATGTATGTATGTATGTATGTACGTATGTATGTATGTATGTATGTTGTATGGATGGATGGATGGATGGATGGATGGATGGATGGATGTGTGTATGCATGCACGTGTATATATATAGATGTGTGTGTATGCATGTATGTATGTATGTGTGCATGCATGTGTGTATGTATGTATGTATGGATGGATGGATGTACGGATGTATGTATATATGTATATATGAACTCCTCTTATCCCGGTGCGACCCTACCTAGGAGTTGGAGCATTCAGGAAAGCAGCATCTACATTTACACCGACAGCTACATTTACATATACACCTGCATATACATCTACATCAACATCAACAGCGATATTCACATCTACATCTACATCTACACCTACATCTACATCTACATCTATATCTACATAAACACATACATCCACATCTACACCTACACCTACATCTACATCTACATCTACACGTTCGCAGTGGTTGTGCTTTTGTTGTGCATTGCCCTTGCGTTTGTTCTTGCCTTTGCGTTTGCCTGTGCCTTTGCGGTTGCTGTTGCGTTTGCTGTTGCTGCTGCTTTGCTTTTGTTTTTGCTGTTGCTTGTGTTTGATGGTGTTGTTGCTTTGCCTGCGTGCAGCTAAGCTGTGCCAGCTATGTTATGCTGTGCTGCGCTATGCGATGCTCGTGCAAGCTAAGCTAGGCACACTATGCCAGCTGTGCTATGCTATGCGATGCTCGTGCATGCTATGCTATGCTGTGCAGCTGCGCTATGCCAGCTATGCTATGCTGTGCACACACACACCCGTTCAAGCTAAGCTCATGTTGTGCTATGCTGTGCTGCGCTATGCGATGCTATGCTATGCTATGCTGCGCTATGTTATGCTATGCTATGCTTTGCTGTGCTATGCTATGTTATGCTAGGCTATGATATGATACGCTATGCTGCACTATGCTATGCTGTGATGATATGCTATGATATGCTGCGCTATGCTGTGATATGATGTGTTATGATATGTTGTGCTATGCTATGCTATGCTGCGCTGCGTTATGCTAAGCAATGCTATGTTATGATATGTAATGTTATGATGTGTTATGATATGATGTGCTATGCTATGATATGCTATGTTATGCTATGATGAGCTATGCTATGATATGGTATGATATGCTATGCTTGGCTATGCTATGCTATGCTTTGCTATGCTGTGCTAATGCTGCGCTGCGCTATGCTGCGACGCGCTAAGCTAAACTAAGGTAAGCTAAGCTGTGCTAGGCTAAGTTAGGTTAAGCTAAGCCAAGCTAGGCTAGGCTAAGCTAAGCTAAGCTGAGCTAAGCTAAGCTAAGCTAGGCTAGGGCTAGGCTAGGCAAAGCTAAGCTAAGATAAGCTAAGCTGATATGAGCTAAGCTGAGCTAAGCTAGGCTAAGCTTAGCTAAGCTAAGCTTAGCTAAGCTAAGCTGGGTGAACCAAGGGGGCGCAACTGGGGGAACGCGGGGCGGATCCTGGGGGAACCGCCCGGGGCGGTTTACACTGCCCGGCCCCTTTTACGATAGAGAATACGAACCCTTCTAGGCAGAGCCTAGGTAGGGAATATTGGAGAAAAAGAAAACACAAAAAAACGTCCCCAGGCTATTTTCACTATTTTTGAATGTTCCTCCTGTAGAAGAACATGCCCGACTTCAACCGAGCCCTCGAAGGTCCGCGAGGACTTCTCGGTCGGCGCTGGACTCCGCTCCCCGCGGGGAAGGCGGGGGGCCAGCGCCGATGCGAGAAGTCTGCGCGGAGCTCCGAAGGTAAACAAGCGCATGCCGATCTCCGGCGGCGAGCGAGGGGGGAGGTGCGCAAGGAGAAGTCCTTCTCTCTGGGAGGCGCGCAGACATGGGTTAGCGATCCATGTATTCGGCGCGCGGTCGCTAAATCCATGGATCGGGGGAGGTGCCCTCCCCAAAATGCGGCCGGTGCCGCCCGATCGGCGGCGGAAATCCGCGATTTCCCATGGAAACAGGACCCGTCGCTAATCCACGCCCCCTTTGATCCATGTTTGCGATCTGCGGCGGGAGCTTCTCAAAATCCCTCGCGCCTTCTGGAAAGACTTCTCTGCGTCTTCGGGGAAGGCGCAGAGAACGTCTCAGAAGGTCAGGGCACCCCCGAGCCTTCTGAGAAGGCCCGTTCCTTCTCACTTCCCCCATGGGCCGCCGCGGTGTTCTTCCTTCTGGGACACCGCCAAGGGGAGTCACCACTAGGGGAGGCCAGAGAGCCCCAAGACAGGCTCCAGAGCGTCAGCGTCGCCGTCGCTGCCACCGCCGTCGTCCTCTGTCATGGTCGGCGGTACTGGTCGCAAGGCCTTCCCAACAGAAAGTGTATGACGTTCTCTCTTCTGGAACAACACCGAGAGGGGGTCACCGCCAGGAGAGGCGAGAGAGCCCCAAGACAGGCTCCAGAGCGTCAGCGTCGTCGTCGTCGCTGCCGCCGGCGCCGCCGCCGTCCCCCGTCAGGGTCGGCAGTACCCGCCGTGAGGCCTTCCCAACAGAAAGTGTACAGTATGCCGTCCTCCCTTCTGGGACAACGTCGAGGGGGGCCACCATTGGGGGAGTCGAGAGAGCCTCAGGAAAGGCTCCAGAGCGTCAACGTCGTCGTCGCCGCCGCCGCCGCCGCCGTCCCCCGTCAGGGTCGGCGGCACCGCCCGCAAGGCCTTTTCAACAAGAAGTGTATGCCGTCCTTCATTCTGGGACAACGCCGAGAGGGGGGGTCACCACTATGGGGAACCACGTCCTCAAAAAAACGCAGTTCCCTCCAACAAGTGTGCTCCAGAGTACACTCCCAGGAACTTCCAGAGCGACCCCAGGCATCCAAAGACCTCCTGGAGCGTCGCTCCTGCAACCTCGATCTCCCAGACCCCCTAGTGGTGACCCCCTTGGTTCCAAGAAATCCGCGCGAAGCCCCGAAAGTCGATGCTCGTGCTGTCATCTCTTCGTCGACGCGCTCCTCCAGCCAGGTGGCCACCGCGTCCCCCGTGCACGGCAGGCTCTCAGGGCCCCCCAACCGGGAACTTTGGCAAACCAAGAGATCGGCGCGCCCTCTGTTGTTCGTTCTCCCCGGTTGGAACTGCTCCTCCACCTCCTCCATTCCTCGTCCGTACACCCTGCGAAATGCTCAAGAAATCATGGGTTAAGAAATTCACAGTCTCAGAAATTGAACAAAACCCAGAATTTCTAATAAAATCTTAGGATTTACATTGAAACATTAAGAATAATCGAGACTCTGGCCGAAAATTTAAGTTTTCTTAAGCATCGCCTAAGGTGTATAAATAACTTCTCCCTGGGGCACCCCGAGGCCGGTCGAAAGGGCGGGCCGGGCGTCTCGCCCGAGACTTCCTCGCCACCTATGACTCTGAGGCTGAAAAATTGGCAGCAGCTTCACTGATAGAGGGCGGGCCGTTTTCAAAATGTGGGTCTCGCCTTAGCGCAACGCGTATCGTTTGACTTGCAAGAGCTTCACGGAATGAGGGCGGGCCGCTTTCAGAATGTGGCTCTCGCCTTTAGCGCCACGCAGATTCGTTTTTCCGGCATAAAGCATTAAGAGCCTCACGGATTGAGGGCGGGCCGCTTTCAAAATGTGGCTCTCGCCTTTAGCGCCACGCACATTCGCTGTAAACATTGGCAAGAACTTCATGGATTGAGGGCGGCTAGTTTTCAAAATGCGGTTCTCGCCTTAGCGCCGCGCGCACTCCTTTTTGAAAAATACCTGGGTTTCACGGGTTCCCATGGTCAACGTACCAGAGATGGCGTTGTGGAAAGATTCTGGATTATACGGGCGCGACAGTTACGTTCATTCGCGGTGTTGAAGTCCTGGGAATGGGGTTCTGGTAATATTCAAGATCGTCAAGACGCAACAGTCAGGATCATCCGTGGCGTTGGAGTCACGAGAAGAATGTGTGTGCATGCTTCAGGGTCTTCAAACGGTTGTCTTCCAATGAGGCAGTTCGCTGAGTGGAAGTGAACCCTTGTAAAGGGGCCTATGAGGAGGGAGCTTGGAGTGAGGGTGGATTCCAACATCGTTGGTGACAATCGGGTTTAGCTCCTTCTTCGCCACTTCCTCTTCCTCCTCATCAGCATCATCATCATGTTCCTCCTCCGCCTCCTCCTCACCATCATGAAACTCCACCTCCTCATCATCATCCTCCTGACCCTCGTCATCCTCCGCCTCCTGGTCCTCCTCATCCTCCTCCTCATCCTCCTTCTCCTCCTCCTCCTCCTCTTCCTCCTCATCCCCCTCCTCTCTCCTCCCCCTCCTCCTCCTCCTCCGCCTCCTCCTACTCCTCCTCCTCCTCCTTCTCCTCCTCCTCCTCCTCCTCCTTCTCCTCCTCCTCCTCCTCCTCCTCCTCCTCATCATCATCATCATCATCATCATCATCATCATCATCATCCTCCTCCTCCTCCTCCTCCT